GCCACCCCCAGGGAATCACCAGAGCTAAGCCCCCTCCTGGACGGTACCTTGGTGACACCAACATAGTACATGTTGGAGCTAACAGGGCAGAGGCTTCTCAGCATCTCCACGCAATTGGGTCCATTGGGAATGATGCTGGACCACATGTCGACAAGGCAGCGGTACCTGGGCGCATGAGACTGTCACCATGCAGAACTCCACTGGGACACCAGCATGGACACTTCTGGTGGTGTCAAGCACCACACCTGGAGATGCAGCTTCTCCCAGAGCTGTGCACCAAAGCATGGGGCTCCCAGCTGCCACCACGGGGGAACCCTGGCCCAAATGCTGCCCCCAAAACACCCACAAGCTTTGTGGACTCCCCTCACCAGGATGGCAGTACCCAAATCACAGCCCCCAGGCACCTGTCGATGAAGACGAGGAAGGGGATGCGGATGGGGAAGCCCTCCTTGCGGATGCGGATGGTCTCCAGGATCCCTGAGTACCGCAGCTGGCTGCTGACCACGTCAGCCTCAAAGAGCCCTGGCTCCTGGGAAGATGATGGGGAGAAGCCTCAGTGGCTGTGCAGGCAGACCACCGCCCACTGTGCCCACTATGCTCCTGGTGCCAGCAGGGCAGGTAGCAGTGGCATTGGCATGGGCAGGAGAGCTCCAGCTCTCACCTTCTTGTTGTTGGGTTTGAGGCAGCGCACAAAGAACGGGTTGCACCTGTGATGCAGAGACCCCATTAGCCACAGGGGACAGGAGACAAAGCCAGTCTGGCCACCTCAGGCTTGGGTCCAGCTGTCACCTGGCTCCCAACAGCCCAGTGCATGGTTGGTTCCCCATCCTGCTGGCCCTGACCTCTCCATCCTCTCCACCAGTTCCAGGAGTGACTGCTGGAACCGTGAGGCCACGGTGGGAGCCTTGTACCGCCGTGTCCTGGTGCTGCTCCTCCTGTTGATGCTCCTCTGCCGAGCCATCACCTGGGCATGGCCGAAGAAGAGGTTGGCCACCACCTTGCAGAGACAGGAAGGGTTAGTGAGAAGGAAGGTGGCCAGGACGGTGCAGTTCTCCTGGTTTCTTTTCCCAGCCCAGCCACTGCCTTTTTGTCCAGCCTAGGGCAAGTTGCATACCCTATTTGTTGCTGTATTCCCTGGATAGGGATGTAGGGATGGGGATGGGAATGGAGATATAGATGGGAATACAAAGGACAAGAGCAGTGCATGTGCCCATTTGTGCCAAATGTTTCAGGGGCAAAGCCCAGAGGATGCCATAGGAGGAGAGCATGGGATAGAGCCAGAGGCATCCTCTACTTCTCGTCCCCCTGGGCCACGGGGATACGCACGCTTGGGGACGTGAAAAGGGATGTATGGAAGGAAGCTATCTATGCCAGGTGTCACCACAGAGCCAGGGCCAGGCAGGGCCCTACCTTGGTCCTGCTGCTGATGAACAGGTCCAGCACATCCTGACGGACCTGGTCATAGTTTTTATCCAAAAACTTGTGAACCTGGCAAAGAGCAAAACCTCATAGCAATGTGTCTGGCAACACAATGTAGGGAGGCAAAGAGCTCCACTCTGGGATAGGGGACTCCAGCCAGACCCCCTGGGCTGCCTGGCCCTCCCTGGTGAGGAATCAAGCCAAGAAAACCTCCACTTTAACTCTCCTTACACCCCACTGGGCATCCCACTGCCACACACCTGGTAGGTCACCTTCCCCGCATAGTGCTTGATGGTGAACTCAGGCAGTGGCAACTTCGGCTTTGTGTACAGAGGGTTTGTCCCATGGTGGTAGTGACACTTCTGGAGGAACGTGTGGTCAGTGGCCTGTGGAGGGACGTAGGAGTGAGACATGGCTCAGGTGGTTCAGGTTAAAACTAGATGATCTTTAAGGTCCCTTCCAAACCAAATCATTCTGATGATTCTATGATTTTCAGGGCTTATCCAGCCTGAAGAAACCCCAGGATGTCTACCAGGTTGTCCAGGACAGTCTAGGAGCAGAGCAGCTCTGGGCCATGATGATTCCCAAACCACAGTGACCACCTGGTGCTGCTACCTCACTCCCTCACCTGGGGGAAGCAGCTCTGGTCATCCAGGATCCGGAGGATGCCGTAGGGCTTCTGGGAGATGAGGTCAATGCAGGGCTGGTTGTCACTGAAGGGGATCTCCTTCCACTCAATCTGCTCCCGGATATACTCCTCCTGCAGGGCCAGCAACCCGTCAGCCCCATGCCCCCAGCCCCATGGCAGTGCCCATCACAGAGGCAGAGCCTAGCACCACCCACCAGCCCACCTGCTCCTCCTGGAAGACGATCCTGTTGAAGAAGAACTGCAGGTACTCATTGGCGTAGTTGATGCACAGCTGCTCGAAGCTGTTGAAGTGGAGGTCCTGCAAGAAGGAAGGTTCATGGAGCCTGAGACCCTGGGGAGGTGGAGCTGGGATTGAGCCAGAATGGATTCTGCTCACCTCAAAGCCATAGATGTCCAGGATGGAGATGGAGAGAGCCTCATGCCGCGGGTACACCAGCTTGTTGATGCGGTCTGTGAGCCAGCCGAAGAGCAGGGAGTAGAGGGTCTTGGCAATGGCATCCCTGGGAAGGAGCAGAGTGATGGAGCTCTGGAATGGCACAGCATGGCACTGTGCACATCCCCACTGCCATAGCCAGAACCCATCACAGCATCAGTTTTAATAACCAGAAAGTCTAATCCACAGTGAGGGACCTAATCATTTCCTTTCCTATCTGGCATTTCACCTCCCACCCCATGCCCTTCCTCCTACCTGGCATCCACAGCACTTTCAACTGTCAGAGGGGTAAAAATCTTCTCCCGCAGCGTTTCCTGGTTGGGAAATGGCATGATGGAGTTTTAGCAACACCAGCCATGGTCCCCAGGGACCAAGGACCCTCCACCCTGCCTGTTCCACCCCACACTCACCGTCACCTTGAAGGTGATGGCTTTCTGCAGGCCCTCAGGGGACACCTGCAGCAGCTCAGCCACTGTCCGGATCTCCGCAGCACTCACCACCATGGCGATCTCCTGGCAGTCAGTCTGCAGGACACAGGGATGCAGTGGGATGCAGTGACCCTGCACCTGCCACATGCCCAAGGAACACAGCTTGGCTCCCCATTTACCTCATATTTTTCAAAGTAGACGTTGCCCAGGTGAAGGACAGAGGAGAGGATGCGGAAGATGCTGTTCTGCTCATCCATGCTGAAGCCCAGCACCTCCATGGTGCTGAGCAGCTGACGGAAATCCTCTGCGTCGTCCTTGCCGGGAATCTCACAGTTCCCACCCTGGCGTGACCCCCTCAGTCCATCAGTGGGTCCCGGGAGGGCAGCACCCAGCATGTGGGGTCACCCTGCCCTGAGCACCCTCCCCATCCAAAGGTTGAGGACCCAGGCACCCCAAGGTTGGGCAGCCCCTGAAAATCAGACAGCATGGGGGGGTCGGGAGAGCCATGCTACCTGGTTCAGGTAGTAGTAGGTCTCGGCGCCCTGCAGGCAGTACCGCTGCTTCTGCTGGACAGGCAGCCCGGCCAGCATCTCGTAGAAGATGTGGTAGTTGCGCTCACTCTTGGACTGGAGAACAGAGGCATAAACAGAAGTGGTAGAAGATTGAGCAGAAACCTGGACCCCCTTGCCTCATACCTGGAAGACCACACGGGATTTCTCCAGCAGGTACTGCGAGGTTATGGCACCGCAGATCAAGCCTCTGCAGGGATGAGAGCAGGCACCTGGCTGGCAACCTCAGTGTGGGCAGAGGCTGTGACCCCCACACCCCTGCCCTGATGCTCTCCAACACATGGGGGGTCAGTGGTGGTCCTTAGGTGCCCCCCACCAGGGATGGACAGGCAGGGAGAGGTGTCTGCAGCCAGCTCGAGCACTGCACCCCAGGGTGACATCAGGCACCCCCACATTGGGACCAGTGGGGTTGAGGAAGGGTGGGATGGAACATGGGGCAGGGATGAGGACTGGGAGTGGTCAGAGTGCTAGCCCAGGACACAACATCCCTGCTCCTACCCCAGGGACAGCCACCTGTCCTCAAGTGCCATCATCTTTCTAATGTTTGTCCCCAAAAGCATCCCTGGGTTTCCCCCCAGAGGCAGGGAGCAGCCTGGAAGTGGGGTGAGAGGTCAGGCTGGGCACTCCCAGGGCAGGGGGACACACAGTGGGGACAGCCATGCATGGGTGTTTCACAGCATTACTTACTCCTCCAGAAAGATTTCCACAAATTTCCCAAACCTGCTGGAATTGTCATTCCTCACAGTTTTGGCGTTGCCGAAGGATTCCAGCAAGGGGGTCGCCTCCAGGATCTATCATGGTGATGGGGAGAGCCTGAGCACCCAACACACCATGCGCTGTCCCCGTGGTGGGGACATCTCCCTCGTCACCCTGCCACCCTCCCTGCCAGCCTCTGCCCCATGCAGACACCCGTGGGTGCCCAAATTTGAGGTGTGCACCATGGCCAGGTTCCATGAGGAAGTCAGAGAGTATGAGGATCCCATGCACATGCATGCACCAAACTCCTGCGTCCCTCCCCTCCATCCCCTTGCAGCTGGAGTGACATGGCCAAGATGCCACCATAACGCTCCGTCCCCTTGAACCATTCCAGTTCACGTGTCCCTCCCAGTACCTCTATCTGCCGTGGTCCAGGTGGAAGCGTGGGGACAAGCAGAGAGCAGTGGAGCCATGAGGAAGGGTGGAGGAGTATGCAGGGAGGTGGGAGAAGATGAGGGGGACATGGGGACACAGGGAATCCCCACGGCAATGCCCTACCTGTGGGACATTGCTGCGTTTCTGGCTGATGGCTGCCAGGTAGCGCAGGATCAACTTGGTGGCTTCGGTCTTCCCTGAGCCGCTCTCCCCACTGAAATGCAGAGCAGGAGTATGGCAGGGATTGTCACCAGCTGAGCACAGGGTTTCCACCCCAAACCCCCTCCAAACTTCCCAAGCACCTCATCCCCAGCAGCACCCATTGGCCCTGGGGCTGGGCCAGGCTGGCAGCAGCATCCTGCAACCAGGAATTAGGTCACTGCTGACTGAGGCTGTCCCAGGGGCCACGTGTGGGGACAGCCATGTCCCACCTGATGACGATACACTGGTTGTGTTTGGCATCCATCACTTTGTAGTAGGCGACGTTTGCGATGGCAAAGAGGTGCCTGGGGCAGGGGGAAGCAGAGGGGGGTGTTACCATGGCATAGGAACCCCCACTGCACCCTGAGCAGCCCCATGCACAGACACAACTGCTCCAGCACTCTGTGACTGAGGGTCCCTGGGGGTCTGGGACCACCCAAGGCTGCTGTGGGACCCAGGAGTGGGTGATGGTGGGTGGGAGTGCCCCCATCCCCACATTTCGGGACTCCCTGGTACTTACGGTGGGTTCTCGCCCAGGGCTCTGCCCTCATACTGCAGCACGTATTCTGTCCCGTAGATGTCGTAGAGCCGGTACGGGTTCATCGACACCAGGATGCTGCCAATGTAGGTCTGCCAGAGAGTGAGGTTTTGGGCTGTGAACCCTCGGGGGGGGTGATGGCACCCCAAAGACCTCACACTGAGGGCTTTTAGGGGACACTGTGCACCCCTAAGCTTACATAGATGAGCTGGCGCTCAAATCGTGTCCGGAGGTTGCTCAGCACCGCAGCCTCCTGGAGATCCCTGGCATGGAGCAGAGGATGCATTAGGGGGTGGCAAGGGGACAGAGGGATGTCTTCTGTCCCCAGCATGTTCCTAGCATCCCCAGCCCCAGGAGGCTGGAGCAGCCCCCGTGTCAGGATGAGATGGGGTAGGAACAGTGGGGCCAGGACAGAGTGGTTGAGGGCTGCAGGCCCATTGTCCCCTACAGTGCTGGGTTATGGTAAAGGGGACAGGGACACTCACTCCAGTTGGGTCATGTCCTCCAGCCCGTCCTCCTTCTTTGGCTCATGGTACCGCATAAGGGGCAGGCTGCACAGTGACTGCATCTGCACAGAGAAACCACCACTCCATCATGTCAGGGATGTGCCAACACCCTCCATTGTCCCATCCAGTCACCACCACCACCACCACCACCCCAGAACCACCATCTGTGACTCCAAACCAGGGAGGACACAGACAGTGACGGCAGGGACCCCAAGAAAACATCCCACAGCCCTGAAACTGGTCCCCCAGCAAGAGTGTCTTGTCAGAGAAGAATAGCAGCAGTGGAAACAAGGACATGGGGCCACCAAGGTGCCCTTGAGGACTGTCCCAGGAAAGACTGATCCTGAGAATCCTAGTTCTGCTCTCTGTGGTCAAGTGTGAACAGGCAGAGACAGCTGTGCCACATCTACTGCAACACCTCATGGTTCATCCATACCCTCATGGGGGCTGCAAAAGGTGGTCCAGAAACACCCGGGCAGGATGGTACCACCAAGGGAAGGGGGCTGAGCCACGGGGCTGAGGCTGCTCCCCACAGCTGCACTCAGAGCTGGCACAGAACAAGTGTCATGCAGGAGCCTGGGCTGGCAGCCAGCCAGGTGGTGGGCAGGAAAGCAGACACCTGCCAGGTCACCGTGCCACCCACACCTGTCCCCACCGGATCGGGTCTCCGCATTTCCATACACCAGAGTCAAGTGTCCCCAGAGGGGCCGTCCATGGGGGGACACACAACAGGCGATGACACCCCCACCTCCAGCCTGCTCC